ACCTCGAGATCATCAAGAACAAGCTCGTCCGCGACATGAAGGTCGACGTCGAGGTCGGCACCCCCCGCGTGTCGTACCGCGAGGCCATCACCAAGGAAGCCACCGACATCCGCGGCAAGTTCGTCAAGCAGACGGGCGGCCGAGGCCAGTTCGGCGACGTCACCATCAACATCGAGCCCTACACCGCGGCCCAGGCCGAGGAAGCCGAGCTCAACTTCAAGGACGGCGTCGCGTTCGAGAACAAGATCGTCGGCGGCAAGATCCCCCGCGAGTACATCCCGTCCGTCGAGGTCGGCATCCGCCAGACCGCGGCGTCCGGCATCATGGCGGGCTTCCCGCTCATCGGCTTCAAGGCGACCCTCGTCGACGGCTCGTACCACCCGGTCGACTCCTCGCAGGTCGCCTTCGAGCAGGCCGCTCGTCTCGCCCTCTCCGAGGCGTGCAACAAGGCCGGCCTCACCCTCCTCGAGCCGATCATGAAGGTCGTCATCACGACGCCGGACGAGTACATCGGCTCGGTCACGGGCGACATCTCCTCCCGTCGCGGCCTCGTGATGGGCACCGAGGAGCGCGGCAACGCCCGCCTCATCACCGCCGAGGTCCCGCTCTCCGAGATGTTCGGCTACACGACGGTCCTCCGCTCGATGTCCCAGGGCCGCGCGACCTCCTCGATGGAGCCGCTCGAGTACCGCCCGCTCCCGCCGAACATGGTCAAGGAAGTCGTCGCCGCGTCGTAAGACCGGTGGCCATCACCTGAACCCCCCGAAGCCCCCGCTCGACGGGGGCTTTTTCGTGCGCGCGGGCCGGTATAGTTGGGCACGAAGATCGAACGCGAAAGGAACGACGTGGTCAAGCTCACGAAGATCTACACGAAAGTCGGCGACGGCGGCGAGACGATGCTCGGCTCGGGCGAGATGGTCGAGAAGTCCTCGCCCCGCGTCACAGCCTACGGCGAGGTGGACGAGGCCAACGCGAGCATCGGCCTGGCCGTGGCGATTTTGGGCGAGTCCGACCTCGCCGACCGGGAAGCCATCGCGGGGGAGCTGACGCGGATCCAGAACGACCTCTTCGACGTCGGCGCCGACCTCTGCGTGCCGGTGGAAGCGGACGAGGAGCCCGGCTCGCGCCTCCGCACGACTGAGGCGATGGTCACCCGCCTCGAGGAGGCGATCGACCGCTGGAACGCCCGCCTCGCGCCGCTCAACTCCTTCATCCTCCCGGGCGGCTCGAAGGCGAGCGCCGCGATCCACGTCTCCCGCACCGTCACACGCCGCGCCGAGCGGGCCGTGGCCGCGTTGTGCGCCGAGGAGCCCGAATCGACGATGCGGTACGCGCAGATCTACCTCAACCGCCTCTCGGACTACCTCTTCGTCATCGCCCGCGTGGCGAACGGGGACGGCGAGCGGGACGTCCTCTGGACCCCCGGCGGGGCAAAGGCGTGAGGCTTCCGCTCGGGGCCGGGGCACGGTAAGGTGGGCAGGATCAGCCACTGGAGGCCCTGGTGACCGCCACCGTCACATCCGATTTCCGCGAAGAATTCGAAGCCGAGAGTACTCGTCGGCTGCGCAAGCGATTCATGTGGTACTGCGGCGTGGTGCTCGGGCTCAGCCTGATCAACGCGATCTCGGTCGTGATCCTGTTCATCTTCATCCCCCAAGATCACCTTCTTGACGCCTGGGTGATCACCATCGCCACCGTGATCGCGGTCATCCCCTTCGTCTGGGCGTTCCTCTTCGCGAAGAAGCGTCAGCGCATCGCCCGCCAGACCCTGATCCGGATTGTGTTCTGGCTCATCGTGGGCACGAGCATCATCAATCTCGCCGTGGCGCCGTTCAGCCGACGCGCGTCCCAGGCCATCGCGATCGATCAGGCTCAGAAAATCCAGGAGCGTCGCGCCAACGCGGGCGAGGAGGCGGAACCGGCGGCAGCGGTCGATGCCGTCCTCGACGAGATCGCCGAGGCGGTCGACCCGGAAGCCGACGTCACGGGTGGCGAAGGCGAACCCGAGGCGACGCCGGAGTTCGCTCCCGGCACTCAGCAGGACGCCGCAACCGAAGCAACTTTGGCCGACGATGCAGAGCCGGCGACGAACGGCGGACGCGTCGTCGTCGCTCAGCAGGATCTGCCCGGAGGCGGCACCGCACAGGTGACCGTGGACGGGCCCAGGTTCGGGATCGGCGCGATGTGGATGCTGAACCTGCTGATCACGCACGTGTTCGCCTCGCTCTTTATCCCGTGGACGCCGCGGGAAGCGATCGCGCCGCTCGTGCCGCTCCTGATCCTGAACGCGCTGCTGCTGCTCGGCTTCAAGACGTTCGGGGATATCTCGGACAGGTGGATAGACCTGGTCCTCATCATCCTGCTCTCCCCCCTCGTCGGCGTCCCGGGGACCCTGATCTGCTGGTGGCGGCACTCTCGATACCGCCAGAAGTTCCACTACAAAATGCTCCGCGGCCGCTACGGCGAGATCAAAGCGGAGTTCTCCGAGGCGCGCAAGATCCACGAGGCCCTCTTCCCCGCGCCCATCGACGCGGGCCCGCTCCGCATGGACTACATCTACGAGCCCATGCGCCAGATCGGCGGGGATTTCCTCTTCTCCCGCTCCATCCAGCGCGAGGACGGCTCGGTCGTCCTCCACGCCGTGCTCGTGGACGTCACGGGCCACGGCCTCACCGCGGCGCTCACGGTCAACCGCATCGCCGGCGAGATCGAACGCGAGTTCGGCGAGGACCCGGACACCACCCCGGCGCAGATCCTCACCGGCCTCAACAACTACATCCACCACACCCTCGCCCTGCACTCGGTCTACGCGACGGCGCTGGCCGTGCGCGTCGATTCACGCGAAGAGCGCGTCACCTGGGCGAGCGCCGGGCACCCCCCGGCGTTCCTGCGGGGTGTGGACGGCACGATCGAGCGGCTCGAATCCACCGCGCTCGTCCTCGGGGCGTGCCTGGGCGACGACTTCGTCGTCGAAGAGCTCAGCCACCGCTTCACCATCGGCGACGCCTTGCTCGTGTATACCGACGGCGCCACCGAGGCCCGCAACGATGAGGGCGTCATGATCGGCGTCCGCGGGCTCGAAGCCATCATGGCCAACGGCCGCCCCGAAGAGTTCGGCGGCTGGTCCGCGACGGTGATGCGCCACGTCGAGCAGCACCGGTACGGGCAGGCGGAGGACGACACGCTGCTGGTGGAGATCTACCGGCCGGTGACGGTGTCCAAATAGCCACATGGCAAATGGCCAAATCGCCAAATTAAAACCCGGTGCTTCCGAACTGCCTAGTTTTCATTTGGCCATTTGGCCATTTGGCCATTTGCTATTTGGCTATTTCACTACCCGACAACGTCCGGGAGCTCGAACATCTCTTCGGTGAGATTCTCCGGCCCGTCCTCAGTAATCAGCACGTCCGCCTCGTAGTGGACGCTCATCGAGTTGTCGAACGTGTAGATCGGCCACTTCTTCGGCTCGGTGAGCGTGCGCCCCGTGCCGACGGCGATCATGGGCTCGACGGCGATGAGCGTCCCCGGCTCGCACGGCGCGAACGCGTCGGGCCACTCGCCCGGGAACGTCGGAACGTTGTTGGAGATGAACGGCGGGCCGTGGAGCTTGCGGCCGATGCCGTGCCCGCCCAGGCCCCGGACGATGTGGAAGCCGCACTCCTGCTCGACGTACTGCTGGCAGGTGCGCGCCCACTCGATGTACTGGTTGCCCGGCGCGAGCGTGGGGATCGACCGGCGGAGCGACTCGATCCCGCACTTCATCAGCGCGAGGTTCTCGTCGGAGACCTCCTTGATCGCGTAGGTCCACGCGGCATCGCCGATCCAGCCCTTGTATTTCACCCCGATGTCGATCGAGAGCAGGTCGCCCGCCTTGAGCGGCGCGGTGTACGACGCGCTCGTCCCGTGCACGATGCACTCGTTCACGCTCAGGCACGCGTGGTTCATGTACGCCGGCATCCGGGGCACCCGGTACCCCAGGAAGCACGAGCGGCAGTCCAGGTCTTTGAGGATCCGCGCGACCTCGGCGTCGATCTCCGCGAGCGTCTGGCCCTCTCGAACGAACGCCGCGAGCCGCTGGTGGGTGACGACGACGCGCTGCGCCGCCTCGCGCGCGTACGCGGCCTCAGAAGTACTGATGGTCGGGGCCGTGGACATACCCGGATGATAGCCGAATCAGAGCGCGCGACCGTTGCACACGACGAGATCGACGGGGTTCCCGCCGAACTCGTAGCCGAGCTGCCGCTCGTCCGTGTGGCGGAGGAGCACCAGGTCAGCCCGCGCGCCGGGTTCGAGCACCCCCCGGTCGTGGCAGCCGAGGAGCTCGGCCGCGGCGCTCGTGCAGGCGCGGATCGCCTCGTGCGCCGTGATCCCCAGGTTCCGCACCGCGAGCGCGACCGCCATCGGCATGCTCGAGCACGGGGCCGAGCCGGGGTTGATGTTCGTCGCGATCACGAGCTTCCCCCCCGAGTCGAGCAGGGCCCGGCCGTCGCCGTACCGCCCGTCCACGTGGAACCCGGAGCACGGGAGCATCACGCCGAACGTGCCGGAATTGCCCAGCGATTTGAGGGTTTCCGGGGGGGTGGCCTCGAGGTGGTCGACGCTCACGGCGCCGCGCTCGATCGCCCATTCGGTCATGCCCAGTGCGTTGAACTGGTCGGTGTGCACGCGGATCGGGTGGCCCAGCTCGATCGCTTTCTCGAAGAGCGCGGCCGTCTCCTCGAGCGACCACGCGCCCCGCTCGCAGTAGGCGTCGATGGCGATGTCCGGGAATTCCGCGTGGACGGCCGGGAGCGTCTCGTTGATCGTCGTCTCGACGAAGCTCGGCTGGTCGGGGTCTTTCGCGTGCGCGATGAGGGCGGTGGGGACGACCGTGCCGTACGCCTGCTCGCTCGCGTCGACGATGGCGCGGAGCATCTTGAGCTCGTCCGCGGTCGTGAGGCCGTACCCGCTCTTGACCTCGACGGTGCACGTCCCCTCGGAGACCATCACGTCGAGGCGGTCGAGGAGGAGCTCGGTGAGCCGGGCCTGCGTTGCTTTGCGCACGGATCGGACGGTGGACATGATCCCGCCGCCCGACTCGAGGATCTCCAGGTACGTCGCACCGGCCTGCTTCTTTTCCCATTCGTCGAGCCGCTCGCCCGCGCTGCACGCGTGCGTGTGGGCGTCGACGAACGCCGGCATGCACACCCGCCCGTCCGCCTCGACGACCTCGGCACCCTTCGGCGCCCGGAGCTTCGGCCCGATCCCGGAGATCGAGCCGCCCTCGACGAGCACGTCCGCCCGGTCGTGGGCCGTGCCCTCGTCGTCCATCGTCAGCACACGCGCGTTCCGGATCAGCAGGCTCACGTATGCACCCTTTCCTGCACCCCCGCGATGAACGTCTGGAAGATCAGTGCCGCGAGACGGGCTGTCCGATTGCCGGCGTCGTGCGGGGGCGACAGCTCCATGATGTCGAAGTGGCGCACGCTCGTGTGCACGCCCGCGAGCGTCGCGAACTTCAGGACGGTGTCCAGCGGGAGCCCCAGCGCCGGTACCGCGCTCACGCCGAGGACGCCCTCGACGCAATCCATGTCGATGCTCACGAACCCCGGCCCCCCGTGCTCGCACGCGTGCGAGACGGCGTCGGCGGGGGCGTGCTTTCCGGCGCGGATCGCGGTGAGCTCACGCACCGTCCCGCCCTGCGATTTCACCCACTCCAGGTGCGCTCGCGAGTTGTCGAACCGCCCCGCCCCGAACTCCACGAACCGGCGACCGTCAACGAACCCGCCCTCGATCAGGCGGCGGTAGGGCGTCCCCGAGCCGTCCGTCTCGCGGACGTCCAGGTGCGGATCGACGTTCACGCCGCCGATTTTTCTCCCCGTGCTCTGCGCGTACGCCCGCACCATCGGGAACGTCAGGTCGTGCCCGCCGCCGATGCCGACGACGATCCTGCCCTCGTCGTGGAACGGCCTGGCGGCCTCGGTGACGCGCCGGTGCGTCTCCTCGAGCGCCGCCGGACCGTCTCCCTCCGCCGGCGTCACGTCCCCCGCGTCGAAGATCCGAACGCCGAGCTCGTGCTCGTGCGACGCGTCCCAGATCGCGCCCATCTTCGCGAGTGTCGAACGCAACACCGACGGCCCATCCTTCGCGCCTGGCCGTCCGTTGTTCAGCTTCACGCCCAGGTCGTCCGGCAGGCCGATGAGGACGACGTCCTCGTCGCCCGTCCGCTCGGTGGTGATGAGCGACGAGAACCGCGAGGCGTCGACGGTCGGCCACTCGAATGTCCGCGTGAGGTGTTCCACGCGGGCATGCTACCGGGATGCGCGCCCGGCTTCCTCCCTACGATGACCGGATGCCTCGACCCCTCCTGCGCGCCCAATGGCTCGACCTCCTCATCGCGAGCTACCGCGTGGACGCGTCGACGCTCGCGCCGCACCTCCCCGACGGCCTCGAACTCGACGTGTGGCAGGGCAGCCCCTACGCGAGCCTCGTGGCGTTCGACTTCGCGCGCGTCCGGATGCGGGGCGTCCCCGTCCCCGGCAACACCCGATTCCCGGAGTGGAACCTCCGCTTCTACGTCCGCGAGAAGGCCGACGAGCGCCGGCGCGGCGTCGTGTTCATTCGCGAGATCGTGCCCAAGCCCCTCGTCTCGCTCGGCGCGAGGTGGCTCTACAACGAGCCCTACGAGACCCGCCCGATGACGATCGAAAAGCGGATCACAAACGGTCGCCCCGCGTTCTCCCACATACTCCGCCACACCGATCGCGACATGACCATCTCCTGGTCCACCGGCTTCGATGAGACCCTGCCGGACGAGGAGTCCGAAGCGCACTTCTTCAAAGAGCACGCCTGGGGCTACGGCACGACCCGGCGCGGTCGGACGCTTGTCTACAACGTGCAGCACCCGATCTGGGCGACTCGGGCGGTGCACGATCTGGATATCGATGTCGACGGAGCGGCCCTGTACGGGGAGCCGTGGGGGTTCATCGGCCAGCGGCCGCCGGATTCCGTCGTCTTTGCGCTCGGGAGCGATATCGAGGTCTACCCGGGCACGCCGCTCTAGCGCCGGTCCCGCTCCCGCAGGAGCGAGAAGTTCATCGGGTGGAGCGTCGCGGCGAAGACCCCGGCCTTCACCGCCGGGTCGTTCTCCATGAACGCCCGCGCCGATTCTTCATTCTCGGCCTCGAAGATCACCACGGCCGGGCCCTCGAAGTCCGTGCACGGCCCGGCCATCACGAGCTTGCCGGACTTGATCGCCTCCTGCAGGTACCGGAAGTGCTCGCCCACTTTGGCGCCCTCGTCGGGGTCCGGGTTGGTGAAGAAATCGTCGCGGGCCGGGCGCGGGACGTACATCCACCCTGTGCCGGGGTTCGGCGCCTCCTCGGAGCCGCTCGCCTTCGCGTGGTGATCGACGAGCCAGCCGACGACGGTCGGCCACGCCTTGGCGAAGTACTCGTACGTGTTGTCCCACTCCTCGCTCGCGCCCTCGGGCGGGTAGCCGTGGTTGTAGAGCGTCACCCGCGTTCGATCGGGCCCCTCGGCGTCGAAGTAGACCGATACGGTGGTGTGCACCCGCCGGGCGTTCGGGAACTGCGGCGGAGCGTTCCATGAAAAGCTCAGCATCTTCTCGTGGTGCGCCGCGAGCACCTCGCACCCCTCGCTCCCCTGCTCGCCCGGGTCGGCGTCCGGCGACCATCGGATGAAATACGCCCCGCCCGGCACGGGGTCGATCTCCGCTTTCGCGCCGGTGAACGCCTCGAAGCCGTTGCCCGTCGTCCACGACGCCCAGACCTCGCCGATCGACGCCGGGACGACACGCTGCACGCGGATTTCGCGGGATTCGTCGACCTCCGGTTTCTCGGCCATGGCGTTCAGGGTAGTCGCCAGCGCGAGGGCGGACGACACGAGGATGGTTGAAAGTCTGTTCATCACATCGCCACCTTCCGGTCTTTGCAGTTCTCGGTTTTCGTCTGCTTGGGCAGCATGAACGACATCATGCCCATGAGCCCCTGCGTGACGTTCGTCTTGAGCGGGACCTTGCCCGTCTCGATGATCTGCTTGTACAGACCCAGGATCGTCGGCCAGCCGCCCTGGACGTCCTTGTGCGTCTTGGTGCCCTCGACAAGCGCCTGGTGCGTCACCGTGACCTTCGTCATCCCCGCGGATTCACTCAGCTCCCACGTCACCAGCGACGGCGCGTCCTCGTACCACGTGAAGATGAACGTGTGCACCAGCTTGTTCGGCGGCGAGACTTCGACGACCTCGCCCATCACCATCGTGTGCGAGTCGCTCTTGTTCGTGTACCGGTACCGGTGCCCGGGCTCGAACGCCCCGTCCAGCACGCAGCCGAACATCGCCTTGTTGACCACGCCGTGCGAGGTGATCTCGTCCCACACCTTCTGGATCGGCGCCTCGATCTCGATGGAATACACCTTGTCACTCATCGTCTTCGACCTCGCACCTGCTGTGGCGGGCGCGGTCCACGAGGGACTCGCGCCGCGCGCCTGTTTCCGATTGCCCGCGGCCGCCTTCGACCGCACGTTTCAAACCCGTCAACGCCGACGCCCACTCGCCCTCGTACCGGCTCACCCAGCGCTCGTAGATCATGCGGATCGGCACGGCGTTGAGGTGGTTCATGCGCACCCGCCCGTCCTTCTTCGCGATCACCAGGCCCGCCTCGGTGAGCACCTTCAGGTGCTGCATCACGGCGAAGCGGGAGACATCAGGGAAGAGCATGACGAGTTCTCCGGTGCTGAGAGGCCCCTCGCGCAGATGATCGAGGATCGCTCGACGATCGGCGTTGGCGAGTGCCTTCCAGACGGGTTCGAGGTCGTCGGTGACCATATGTGATAATCCTATCACATTTCTTTAGGCGCACAAGGGGTTACCCTGCCCTTCGCACACTTTTCTGAGAACGGAGCGTATGTGGCCATCTGGATCGGGCTTCTGATCGTAGGAATCGCGGTGTTCGCTCTCGGAGTGCGGGGGTGGCGCGTGGGGAGCGTTCCGCACTGCCGGAAGTGCGGGTACGAGTTGACGGGGCTCGAAACCCGTGAGGCGTGCCCGGAGTGCGGGCGGGATCTGCGGGGGCGGCGAGCGGTTGCCCGCGGTCGTCGCCGGCGGCGGCCGCTCATCGCGGGGGTAGGGGCGCTGCTCATTCTCTCAGGTGTCTCCGTTGCGAGCGTGTCGTATTACAACAATCTGACATCGCGCACGCTGAGCGAGATGCCGGAGTGGGTACTGAAAATCGAGGCGAGGAGGTCGGACGCTTCGCGATCCGAGCGGGCTCTGAGTGAATTGCTGTTCCGTCACAGTCTCGGCAAAGTTGACGGGGCCGTCTTTGATCCGTTCATCGATCGCGCGCTCGATCGGCAGCAGGATCTCGAAGCGGAATGGAATGACGGCGTTCCGTGGCCCGCGATCCTTCGTGTCGGGCTTGAGCGGGGCGTCCTCAACGCAGCACAGATCGAACGGTATCGGGATCAGGCGCTCGGCGAGCTTGAACTCGAATTTTTTGGGACCGATCTCCGGATCCGTGCCGGGGAGAGTCTCACTTCGATGCGCGTCAATACGATTGGCATACCTCGATTGGTGATGGGAGAGGCTTATCGTTTCGATCTGTACCCACTCGATCTACGCACAAAGAACGGCCCCGTAGAGTTACCGGGGCGACGGAGCGACGACGGCTGGCTTGTCAATCGAATCGAGGAGGCTTGGGAAAAGGGTGGGTATTCACACATCGGTACGGTGTTCAGTTCTGGCGTCCAAAAGACCGAGCGGAAGTGGTTTAGGCTAAACGACATCCCGGCCGGTGTTCATCAATACACCGGTCGTTTCGCGGTCGAAATATCGCTTGTTGAGAACTGGAGCGAGGGGGAGACACCCGAACAGGAAGCGGTGCACGCGCTCGAGACTCGGATTCAAGAAGTGGAATTCGAGGTCCACGCGATCGAGAGTCCGAGCGACGTGCTGACCTACGTCGATTCGAACTCATCGCACACGCGGCCGATCGTCGAGGCCGATCAGTATGGCGGGCCACCAGGCTTACCACCCATCTGGATGGTCGAGCCCGAACCAAGGGACAGCGACTGGCTACTCATCAAAGGCAGAATTTCCGTCGATGGTCAGAGGAACTCCCGCCGCATGTCGCGGGGCACATATTCGCAGTGATTGATGGAGAACGTTTGCCGCTCAAGATGACCACGAAGAAGCGGTTTCAGCGTCAATGCGAATTCGATGCGGCGCCGGGAACCAGCGGAGCAGGGTTCGGCCTGCGCTTCTATATCCGTGCAGAACAATTCGGTCGTCCAGACACCATCGATGTCGTCATCGTGCCGGATCCCTGGCTCGCGGTGCGGTATCCGGAGACGGAGTATTTCTGGAACGAAGAGATCGTCCTGAAGGACATCCAACTCGACTGGTCCGCCGTTGACGCTACCCCGGACACCGACACCCCATGACCCTCTGGATCCCCACCCTCCTCCTCGGCCTCGCCCTCGTCGTCATCTTCGGCATCCGCGGCGTGCGCTCCGGCACGACCCCGCACTGCCGCAAGTGCGGGTACGACCTGGCCGGGATCAACACGTCCGCGACGTGCCCCGAGTGCGGGCGGGGACTGACTGCCGCGCGGGCGATTCGCGCCGGGCGGCTCCGGCGGAAGCCGGTGCTGGCGTCGGTGGGGGTGGTCCTCCTGCTGGGCGGGCTCGGGATGGCGGGGTACCGGTTCGTGCTGACCACCAGGAACCTGCCCGTCGCCCAAAGGCCGACGTGGCTCCTCAAGATCGACGCGCGGAGCGACCTCGACGAGCGCGCCGACGAGGCGATCAACGAGCTCTCGATCCGGCGCATCAAGGGCGATTTCGCCGACGAGGACTTCGCCCTCTTCGTCGACCGGGCGCTCGACCGACAGGCAGACCCGAACTACGCCTGGTACGGCTCGACCTGGCGCGAGGTGCTCGTCACGGCCGACGAGGCGGGCCTCTTCACCGACGCGCAGCGCGAGCGGTACCAATCGCAGGTCTTGCTGTTCATGGACGACAAGCCGTGGAAGACTGAGTACCGCACGACCCCCGATCGCGAGACGGTCTCGATGACGACGTTCAGCAATCGGACCGCGCCGCGGACCGCGTTCAACGAGGCCGTCACCATGGTCTTTTACGCGTCCGCTATCAGTGCCGACGGGCGACCGATTGACCTTGCGGCGCCCACCCGGGACGCGGACGGGGGCTCGCGCCTCAAGGCGATGAGCTTCCTCTGGGGCACGAACTACACCTACCCCTCGCAAGGACTGATGCCATGCGAGGCGATCGTCTCGGGCGAGGTCGCCCCGCCGATTCTCCCGACGCCCGCGCCGGGCGTGCACCAGTACGAGATCGCCGCGGTGGTGGAGTGGTACCTCCACCCGCCGGGACTTGACTGGTTCCAGAAGAGCACGCACGACTTCCGCGAGGCGACCCCGCACCGCGTGCGCACGAGCGGCTCGTTCGTCGTGAAGGTCATCGGGGAACCATCGGACGTGCTCACGTTTGTCGATACGAACACAGGAGCCGCCGCGCCGAACATCACGCCGGACCTGCCGCCCAGCTCCGGCATGCCTCCCGAAGACTGGGCCCTCAGCGCCGCGGACGACCCTGCCTACCTCGCGCTCAACGGCTGGATCGTGCGCACGTCCCACGCCGACGACGAGGCCTTTGTCGCGGGGCGGTTGCACTTGCGCGTCGGCGACCGGCTGGTCCCGATCCTGAAATACAAAAAAGACGAAACGGTGAGCTACTCGAGCCGGGCGATGCCCGGAGCACCGGGCTCGGTGGGTGCCGCCGCGGTGAACGGGTACGTCGAGCGTGCCGCGTTGGAGGGTGCGGAGACGGTTGATGTCGTGATCGTCCCCGACCCGTGGATCGCGGCGTACGACGAGCGGGCGGAGGTGTTTTGGAATGAGGAGATTGTGTTTAAGGATGTGCCGCTGGATTGGTCGGCGGTCGACGCGAACGGTGCCGACGAGTGAATCGCGAGGGATCCCTGGTGAACGATCAAGCCTTCATCTCGCGAATTACAGAACTCCTGTCGCACTCCCGTCACGTCCAGCAGGGTCGGGGCGCTTCAATCAAGGAAATAAGAGATGCGGAGCGCCTTCTCGGTGTCGCGTTACCGCGAGATTTTCGAGCCTATCTGACGCATTTCGGATGGCTCAGCTTTGATGCCGAAGAGGTCTTCGGGCTTGGGTCGGATTGCGCCGAGCACATGGACATCGTCCAGAATTGGAGATGGGAGTACGAGGAAGCGGGGTACGGAAGCGACCTTCCGCAGGGGCTTGTTCCACTCCGCAATAACGGCGGGGGAGACATCAGTTTCCTGGATTCATCGCGGAGCGACGGCGAAACGTGCCCGGTCGTTACGCACTGGCACGAAACGCAGGAAATCGAGCGCATCGCGGATTCGTTCGGCGACTGGCTCTGCGATTTGATCGAAGAGTCAAATCGGCACGGCGCGGATTAGCCCACCATCCGCTCCCGGATCATCTCGTTGATCGGGCAGTAGATCTTCCGCGCCAGGAACCCGTTGATCTCGTTCACGTCCACGCCCAGCAGGTCCGCCAGTTCGCTCGCGCGCAGGGACGCGCCGAGCGTGAACGCCAGGTGGAAGATCACCCCTTCCAGTGTCCTGTTCAGCCCCTGCATGGCCCGCACTCCACGTCGACAGTCGGCCCGAGCGACTTACGCCGTCGGGCCCGTGTGCTCGCTTCATTTCTGAGAGTCGGGGTGTCTTTCTCCAGCCTCGCTCTCTCTCCTCAGTATGCGCCGAAAACGCTCCGAGGTTCCGAAAACGGGGGGAATCCGGCGCAAAATCTCCGAGATTGCGGGATCACCGCATCGGGATGTCCACGTCCTGGTCCCGCATGCACCCCTCCGCCTCCTCGTACCCCGCGTCCACGTGGCGGAAGACGCCCATCATCGGGTCGTTCGTGAGCACGCGACGCACGCGGGCCTCGGCCTTGTCCGTCCCGTCCGCGACGACCACCTGACCGGCGTGCTGCGAGAAGCCGATGCCGACGCCGCCGCCGTGGTGGAAGCTGACCCAGGACGCGCCCGAGGCGACGTTCACCATCGCGTTGAGGAGGGGCCAGTCGCTCACGGCGTCCGTCCCGTCCTTCATGGCCTCGGTCTCACGGTTGGGGCTCGCGACGGAGCCGCAGTCCAGGTGATCCCGCCCGATGACGATCGGCGCGGAGACCTTCCCGTCGCGGACGAGCCAGTTGAACATCACGCCCGCCTTGTCGCGCTCGCCCAGGCCGATCCAGCAGATGCGGGACGGCAGGCCCTGGAAGGCGAAGCGGGGGGCGCAGTTCTCGAAATCGCCCGCGAGGAGCGCGTCCGGGTTCGCGTGGCAGCCCAGGATCCAGCGGTGGAGGCGGGCGTTGTAGCTTCCGGGGGCTCCCGCTTCGGCCGGGAACATCTTGAGGAGTTCGTAGTCGGTGACGTAGATGTCCTTCGGGTCGCCCGAGAGCGCCACCCACCGGAACGGCCCGCGTCCGAGGCAGAACTGCGGGCGGATGTACGCCGGGACGAATCCCGGGAACGCGAACGCGTCCTCGTACCCGTTGTCGAGCGCGCGCTGGCGGAGGTTGTTGCCGTAATCGAACGTCACGGCCCCGCGCTTCTGGAGGGTGACCATGTGGCGCACGTGCTGCTCCATGGTGTCCATCGAGCGCCTCACGTACTCGTCGGGGTCGCTCTCGCGGAGGACGCGGGCTTCCTCGAACGTCACGCCCGTCGGCACGTAGCCGACGAGGGCGTCGTGCGCGGAGGTCTGGTCGGTGAGCACGTCCGGCGTGATGTCCCGCTCGATCATCCGCGCCAGCAGGTCCACCGCGTTCGCCTCGACGCCGATGCTCACCGCCTCCTTGTTCTTCGCGGCCTGCACGGCGCGGTCGATCGACGCGTCGATGCCGTCCGCGAGCTCGTCGAGGTAGTTGTCGTCCAGGCGGCGCTGGAGGCGGGTGAGGTCCACGTCCGCGATGAGGCAGGTGCCGCCGTTGAGCGTGACGGAGAGCGGCTGGGCGCCGCCCATACCGCCGCAGCCGCCGGTGACGCAGAGCTTGCCAACGAGCGAGCCCGCCTCATTCCCGGCGTTCTCCTTGAAGTTGAGCACGCCCGCTTCCGCGAACGTTTCGTAGGTGCCCTGGAGGATGCCCTGCGTGCCGATGTAGATCCACGAGCCCGCGGTCATCTG